CATTGGCGGCCCATGTTCATCTTGGAATCAATAATGACTCCAAGATCCTTTTCTGCTTCTGTGCTGACAAGAAGGACATCCCCAGCCTGTAGGTATGCTGCTGGTTCTTCCTCCCCAGGTGCAGTACCTTGCACTTGTCAGTATTGAAACCCATCCTGTTCTCATCCGCCCACCCTTGTAACCTGTCCAGGTCTAGCTGTAGCCTGTCCCTCTCTTCTAGCGTGCCCATTTCTCCCCACATCTTAGTGTCATCTGCAAACTTGAACAAGGTGCTTTTTACCCCCTTGTCTAAGTTGCTGATGAAGATATTGAACAGTGCGGGCCCGAAGACTGAGCTCTGGGAAACCCCACTGCCCACATCCCTCCAGGTCGAAAACGGCCCGTCCACCACCACTCTCTGAGTGTGGCCCTCCAGCCAATTTGTGACCCATCTGACTGTGTAGGCATCGATGCCACAGTTGCCTAATTTTTTGATGAGAATGGGGTGAGAGACAGCGTTGAAGGCCTTCCTAAAGACCAGAAAGACTAAGTCCACCGCGATACTTGCATCCAAGAATTTTGTGACCTTGGATTTTAGAAGGCCACTAGGTTGGTCTGACAGGACCTGCCTCTAATGAATCCATGTTGGTTGCCCCTAAGCATAATCTCCCCTGCTGGTCCCTCAATGAAGTGCTCCTGGATAATTTTCTCAAAGAGCTTCCCCAGGACCGAGGTAAGACTAATGGGCCTATAGTTTCCTGGGTCCTCCTTCCTCCCTTTTTTGAAAATAGCGACCACATTGGCCCTTTTCCAATCCTCTGGCACCTCTCCAGAGCACCACAAGTGCTCACAGAGTTGTGCCAGGGGTCCCACAATATCCTCTGCCAATTCCCTCAGCACCCTTGGGTGGAGATCATCTGGACCTGCTGATTTGAAGATGTCCAGTCCCACCAGAAGTTCCCTGACCAGGTCCTCTCTGACCCTGGGCCCAGCTATGCCTCTCCTGAGTTCGTCCAGGATTCTGGTGGGGAGAGAAGCACACAATTCCAGGGGGACACATGCCCCCTCATGCCTCCCCCAGGAGTCTTCCTGAGGTCCTACATTTCAGTGATTCTAATAAGGTAACAGACTAGGACTAGCAGCAGCATTTACACATATCACCTCTGCAAACCAAAAGGCTACATAGTAGGGGTGCACTGATAGAGATTTTGGGGGCCGATACCAATAGCCGATTTTTAAGGAGGCATATCAGCACATCCCGATCTGATTTCTGATACAGTTGTGTCCAGCTCGTAAACCTGTTGTGGTGGAAGGGGAGAGAGGAGAAAAGGCATGTGGGGGGGCAGATCAATGGCCTCCGCAGTGAGGGAAGAAGTGGGGCTGGGCCTGGGGCAGGGGCTGCGGCATAGGCTGCCCAGAACGGGTGGGGCAGGGTGCAGGACAGAGCCATGGTTCATCCAGGGAACATGGAAGGGGATGGCTCCTGCTACTGCATGCACCCCAGGAGGGCATTGGGGGCGGGGGGCCCGGATCTGTATGGGGCACAGATCATGTGGGCTGCAGCTGCGGGCTGGAGCCGGGGCTGCACAGGGCTCTTCCCAGTGTGCGTGGGGGGGGCGAGGCAGGGCAAGAGCTGGGCCAGGGCTGCGCGTGGGGCTGGCGGCAGCACTGGGAGGGGGCTGCAGTCTCTACAAATTTCACCATAGCCCCCCATATCCCCCTTCCCAGAGCTGCCACCGCCACCCACCCCAAGCGCAGTCCCAGCCCAACCCCACCCCATGCATCAGGAAGAACCCCATGCAGCCCTGGCCCCAGCCCACCCCGTCTGTGCTCCACACAGATCCGGAGGCACCCCCCCCACTACCATGCCCTTGCAGCGTGCACACAGCAGCATGAGCCCCATCCGCACGCCCCCTGAACGAGCTGCAGCTCTGCCCCACACCCCGCCCTAGCTGGGTAGCGCCTCTCCCAGCCCCACTCCCTTCCTCACTGCGGAGGGCAATGATTTGTCCCCCCATGCCCCTTCCCTTCCCTCCCCACTCCCATTCCTCCACACCAGACTTACCACAACTCTCCATGCTACCCGGCTGTGCTCCTCGCTGCCTGCATGCCGCGCTGCGGCTGCACGCACGCATGGGCATTTATTAGACAAATTATTGGCCACATCAGGCCGATTTTGATACACTCAGTTTTCTTTATATTGGTGCTGATCCAATATCAGACCAATGTATCGGGGCACCTCTACTACACAGCAAACATTCAAAAACCATGAGTTACCTGATCCACCTACAAAATCAAAGGAATAGCTTTAATTTTTTTTTAAATGAGTTGCTGCAATTCAAGCTTTCAGGATTTGCATTTTGCAACCTTTCCTCCACAGAGACAGGACTTCTGTATGTACTTCAAAAAATAGTAAAGCTGAAAGTTTTCCAAATCCCATAATTCTAGGAATTCAAGCATTATCAGAAGGGGGGAAAAGCAGATATAATAAGATTCATAATAAAACCATTAGAGTTCAAAACAGTAAAGACTCCATTTTTCAACTTCAAAAGTTTCACGGTCTGAGACACAATAAGTTCAGTATCCCCAGGGGGACCACAGATACGTGGAGAACGTCAAAAGGGGTTGAGAGAGAGTTGGAGAGTTCAAGAGAAACAAAGTGTAGGCAGAGGAAAAAATCAGACTCTATCAAATGTATCTGCTCAGCACCACCTTGTCACCACTTTCAGAGCTAAATCTAGGATTCACTTCTCTTCACAATTTTTCAATATTTAAAAAATATACCTACTTTTTTTGAAAGTCTGTAATCAAATCAAGTAATTCACTCTTAACTCCCAAAGAAAGGCTTTTGCTTATTAATTAAAGATTATAAAATACTCATTATTCAGTATAATGGCTATCTAGACAGACATCTGGGTTTAATCCTACCTTGCCAAGTCTCACACAGTAACAACCATCAGCAAAAATGAGTAAGAAATAAAAATGGTTTTGTCTGCTTGTTTGTCTTAACATCCCTTACTGAGGTCCACATTTAGAGCACATCTACACATTGTCATGCGGCGATGTTGCTACAGAGCCGTGTTTCACTACTTCCTTTTGTACACCATATCTCTTTAGTACTTTCTTTGGTAAGCCATACAGCACACAGATTTCGCTGCTGTTGCCATAGCAGCATTCTATACCTAGGGAGCACACGGCTATGGCAACATAGCTGGCTCTCACATATAGAAATATATGATTGCTATGTCATCGTTGTGTGACATGTAGATGAGCCCACAGAAGTTAAAGTTGAACTGATATCAATTGCATTAAAACTACAGGAAAAAATGCTAATTTTTTTGCAAGAACAGATTTTAAACATAGCAATTGAACATGAATGCCATACTGCAAAACACAAAGTAGCATTTCTTACAATTTATGATATTCTTGTAATATTATTTAGACTTGAAAGTGTCTCTCTCTCTTTCTCTCTCTCTCTCTCACACACACCCACACACACACACCCCCCCTATGTAACTGAGATAGATAGAAAGCAGTCTCCCAATTAAACGCTGGCCAAATTGCTTCCCACTGAAACTGAATTTTCAATTTAACTTTTTTTTTCAGAAAAGTCATTTTGTTTCTGCAGTAAATGCCAGCAGAAAAATGAACGGCCACAAACTGAAATAGTTTGATTTGAAAATGGAGCCACAATACCTCATACCGCTGGCTTCCCTGTGCGTTTACATCTCCTGTAATGCAATAACCTGTGTTGGGGCTGACTGCCATTTTGGGAGACATTACATAATCATTTCTCATAATTTTCTCCTATGTTAATTTGTATATGGTGCAAGAACATTATTTTAGAAATTCCAGTTTTATAGAACTCTTATCCAAAATATCTACATGACTCTCAGCCTGTTACTGCTATTCCTACTTATTGTATACAATTTTTGTTTGTTCCCTCTGACACACAAAAAAGAAGCGTGTGTACTAAAATAAGCACCACATCTGACAGGATTATGACAAAAATAAGTTTTAGTCAGAAATTAGTTTGTAAATGCACATGCTTATACATACAAAAAGCATTTTCACGTGCAGCTTACTGTTTACATAACTATTAAACAAAAGTTTGGAGACAGAGCTTCAAAAGTTAGCCTTCTGGATACCTAAATACTATCTACATATAGTTTCTCTTGTAATGGAACTGTACACCATCATCATTCTCTAGAAACAAAACCTTATACCATTCAAAAATTAACATATGCTCTGCAGAAATAGAGTGGCTGCTAATTAGAAGAATATTTTATTTCTTTGATGTCAGCAAGATATTTCATAGTTTTCTTTTTATACAGGATACTTTCTATAAGATCTCAGAAGTACCTGTCTGTGCCTCAACGGAAAATATATAGAGGGGAACAGAAAAGTGTATATACCACATTTCACAGGTCAAACTGTATAAAATATCTGAACTCCTTTTAGTTCCTATAAACTGGAACCACAGTGTGAGGGAATTTGTGTTTTTTGTTTAATAATAAAAAGCATTTTCCCCACATCCTTATAAAATGTTACAAAGGAACAATCTTTCATAATAAAAGCTTCCTATCACTTAAGGAATAGTAATCAAAACTTGAGAGCTAAAAAGGATCTACTGAAAACCTTGGTTTGAAGAATATTCCCTCAATATTTCATGAGTAATGTTAGTCTTGTTAATTATACACATCTGGAGACAACAGTGTCCAAGCATGATATAAGAATATCCACCTTCCAGCCCAGTCATGAGAAAAAAAGCTAAAAACTAATTCATTATGGTAGCATACCGTAACTGCTGTTGCATACATTATAACGGTTACCATTTAAACTGAAGGCAAATTAAGTACTCACAGCAATCATTTCAGCATAAATATTTATTTTGTATATAGAATACACATTTCTCTAACAACAAACAATTTTAAAAGTTGTGTTGAGTAAAACAACCAAACTTACTTTGGCAAGTATATATTTAAGGACTCCTGTAATAAAGTTGTCTTTAATGAACTCACCTTTAAAAGCTGAGGTTTTATAATTATGTTGTATAGCAGCAATCACGTCCTTCCAAAAATCATATTTTTTCTGACTGTCATGCTGTAAGAGTCAAAAGAACTCAATGAGTATATCAAATATTAGCTGTTCCAGGTTTTTAACTATGAGAATAATTTTGAAAGAGAAGATGAATAATCCTGTAGATTGGGGCTGAGGGGTTCAGTACCCAACTTGACCATGAAACTCCTGGCCTCTCAGACAAGGCATTTTCTAACCTCTGCAATTCCTTGAATTAGGAGCTCATGCTTCAGAGCAAGAGCTTCATCTATGCCAGTAACAACTGGTAATAGATAGGGACCTCCCAAATTCACAATTTTGCAATTTTTGCAGAAACAGCGAGTTTGGTAGGTCCCCCATGAAAAAGTGCAGGGACCACGAAAAGGTACAAGGGCCACAGAAACACTGGAAAACAGCTTGTAAGACAGGGGGGACGGGGAGGGAACTGCAAACAGAGGTGGAAGCCCCGGTGTGGAGAAAGGAAGCATGGTGGGGGAAGGGAAACGGGGGAGAGATTTTCACAGTGGAATGTGGTGCCCCCCGCACCATGCCTCTGATTAGCTGAGGGGCCCCGGAAGTCCTGCCCCTCCCCAGAGATTGACAGATGGCCATCTGTCAATCTCCGGGGATGGGTGGGACTGTTAGGGTCCCCTGGCCAATCAGAGGCTGGGGGGGTGCGGGCACTTCACTCCACCACAAAATTGTGGTGCAAATGGGGCGGGCTTTAAACTAGGCTCGTCAGGGGAAGGGGAAGATGAGGGTGGAGGATACATCAGACTACCAGACCAAACGGCACCCGCAATTACAGCCCAGCCCAGACCGACAAGCGTAGCAGATAAACAGGTAAGTGATGGGGACCAGGGGAATGCTGGGACTAGGGGGTCAGTATACACATCTACTGGAGGCCTGAAATGCCTCTACACTAATGCCCATAGCATGGGGAACAAGCAGGAGGAACTCGCCCTCCTGCTGGCTGACACCAGCCCGGACATTGTGGGGATTATGGAAACATGGTGGGACTCCAAGCATGATTGGGCGGTGAATGTCAAGGGCTATAGGCTGTACAGGAGGGACAGGATTGCTGGAGGTTTCATCTGCACGAGCTTCCCTTCACCAACACTTACAGTTTTTTACTGAAAAAAAAAAATTTCCTTTCTTTGAACCTTTCTTTTATCTTTGGCATCTAAAAATGCAGAAAGATCCGGCTTAGTTACCACCTTTATGCAAATATATTTTCCCATTTTGCGTAGCGGATCGTGGAGAAGTTTTGCATTTTAAGGAGCTTTCTGATGCCATTTCAGCAGTTCCTTTCATGATTAAAGTTGTACTCAGCTGCTTTTTCCCCAGTTATTTTTCCAACTTCTCTTTAGATTAAAAAAATAAAAATAAAGAAAGAATAGACACGCTAGACAGGAAAAAAGCAGAGCTAAGCAAAATTTCTGAGACGCTTCCTTTCTCTTTATTTTTTTGTCCCCCCATCATAACTAAGGCCATTCTAACTGCAACCGATTCGGACAGTTTCATTCTGTGATAAATCACATTTTATCGAGCTGACGGTGCAAACGGCTGCCTGGAATCGAAACTTGCAGTCACTCCGTGGTCGCGACCTCTGACCGCTTGGAGAACTGCTCTGCGGCTCTGTGATTTGGGGATTACAGAGGGAAAGCAGCTTCCCTCCCGCTAAAGAAGAAACTGGTTGTAGTACATACAAAAGGCACTGGTTTTTGAGGCTCCAGAATGCAGACAAGACCCAGCGTCTCTCTCTCGCCTGCTAGCTTGCAGACCTATGTGAATCCCATGGCCTAGTGGGAGGAGGGGGCCCATCACAGCATGTGCTGCTCGGGGTCACCATTTAGGGTCTGAAAACATCCTAACTTGGATTCAGACATTGTGAGAGGGATTCACAGATTGTAAGACTGGAAGGGACTTTGGAAGATCATCAGGTCCAGCCCCCTGCACCAAGCAAGGAAAGACAACTGGGGTCAAGTGACCCCAGCGAGGTGACCATCCAGTCTCCTCTTGAAGATTTCCAGGGTAGCTGACTGCACCACCTCTGGAAGGAGCTTATTGCACAATCTGGACACCCTAAATGTGAAGCAGTTTTTCCTAATGTTGAGTCTGAAATGGTCTTCCAGGAGTTTGTGGCCATTACTCTTGGTTCTCTGCAAGGGTGCCCGATAAGATATATAGCATGATACAGCAGGCTAGCGGATGCTAGCAAACATCAGGTTGTAGGTCTGCTCCTGTCCTCAATGACACCCAGGTTTGATACTCGTTTGAAATGGCAGAGGATGAGGTCTTGTGTTCATGGGTAACTCCACAGCAAGAGGCAGGCTCCCTCCTTGGTGGGACATACACAGCAGATGGATGAGAAATCCGCTCCCAGGTAGTGCGTGTACAGATGCTTTACCTAATGCAAGTCAGGATTTTTAGTTTTGAAAGTCAGCAAAATCAAAAATGGATCTTATTTCATACCTGTGTTACCCCGCCGTGAAAGAACAGCTTCTAAAATGCTTGGGGAGTTAATGAGATGTACCGACTCTTTTAGCTTCGTGGAAGCTTGCTCGCTCCCCCAGTGCTCTTTCACCTCTCGAAACAGGCTTAAAATTCAGCCCATACTGACAGGGCTCTAGAGAACAAGGGATTAAAAAAAAAAAAGAGGCTTTTAATCTAGTAATTGTAAAAGTTTATGAGCACTGCAAGTTTGTGAGGTACTAGTCCAGTTCCTGGTGCACATTACAAAGTCTGTCTGGTTTGGCTTTAATTAAACTGTCTTGGGTCTATAAAGCCACAGAGCTGAGAGTGCTAAGAACAGAAATGCCTCGTTATGATAACTGTAGGCATCTTGCCTACATCTATTAACCTGGAAAGGCTTCCAGCCATGGAAGGTATATTTGAAAAATAAAAAAACCCAAACCCCACAGGTAGCACATTTCAAACTCTCGTACTTGTCAGGAGCCTTTGAGACCGTCGGGCTTCCGATACGAGAAAGCAGAGCGGAAGTGGTGAAGGTTCGTGGAGAGGAATCACAAAGCGAGGAAGGTAATTGTGGCAGAAGGGGAGTTTGCTAAGCACGTGTTAGAAGCTGAGCTGGCGACAGGTTGCTGAATGCACCGAGTCTTTTGCCCTCTGAGAGAGTGGTGGGAAGAAACCTGATGCTATCACCAAATGGATTGCCAAAATCCACGTGTGGTGACGATGATAATAATAATGATGATGGTGATGATAGTTTACAACATACCGTATCTCACTGAGGATCTGAAAATGGTTTCCAGCCCCCTTTGGGAAGTGGGCTGGTAGTTCTCCCAGGGTGGGCAAAACGCGGCCCGGGGGCCGGATGCGGCCTGCCAGGCCATTCTATCCAGCCCGTGCAGCCCCTAAAAAATTTAGAAAATGAATATTTATCTGCCCCTGACTGTCTGTCATGTGATCCAGGAGGCGCTACTTGGACATCAGGAGGTGCTACTTCACGGTCAGGGCGGCTAGGGTCTGGAACCAGCTTCCAAGTGAGGTGGTGCAGGCTCCCACCCTGGGGGTTTTTAAGAGGAGGTTAGATGACCATCTTGCTGGGGTCATTTGACCCCCAGTACTCTTTCCTGCCATGGCAGGGGGGCGGACTAGATGATCTGCCCAGGTCCCTTCCAACCCTAGAAACTATGAAACTATGAAATTAGGTAGGTCCCTAGTAATAGTTACAATGTACACACGGCAGCATCCCACAAGTTATATAGCCTGAAACTGACATAAGAAAATAAAACTATAAATAAAACTTAGAAGATTTTTCTCTATATGTTACAATACTGTAACATTGTTGTTTTAGTGTTGTTGTTAGCTCTTCATACCTACGTTAGTATAAATGTTGACGCAACTGTTAACAGATCTCATAGTACTGACCTCTCTATTGGCCTCAGGCATGTTTAGTAATTGAAACGTCACAGTGAAGGCTGTAGACTGTGGACCTGCCATAAACTATTATCAATAACATTGTGGATAATATGGACTTCAGCTTGTAGAGGCCAAAGTGATAAATATACTGTGGAATCAATAAGCAGAAGCATGGAAAAGTAAAATAAATTGTGTTGATCAAAGCCACCAATAAATGGCCAGGCCATGTGTGGATAAGTGTTTTTGGGAAAGTACAAATAATAGTTATAAGTAACAGCTGTGGCACCATGATGTTCATCTTTTGATGAAAGCTGTGGCTTTCTTCTTTCTCTTATGTTGGCCCACACTCTGCCCACCCTGCAGCAGCTCCCTGGAACACCAGCTCCAGCTTTTCATTGCATATAAATCTTTTGCCTTTTACTAAAGATTTCAATGTTTCACCCCTCTACCTCACACTCTCCACCAGCACAGACCCGCCTCAAGCTATCACCAACACAGTATGAATATAAGTCAGCAGTGTGATGCTGTAGCCAGTATGGCAAATAATACTCTGGCATGCATCAACTGAAGCATCTCCAGCAAAACCAAGGAGGTGATTCTTCTGCTCTAATCAGCACTGGTGAGACCACAGCTGGAGTACTGCATCCAGTTCTGGGCACCACGATTTCTCAAGCTTGTCCACATTCTTGTTAGAGTCCAAAGAGGAGCCACCCATATGATAAGAGTCTTAAAAGGCAAGCCATACGAGGAAAGGCTGAGGGATCTGGGACTCTTCAGCCTGAGGAAAAGAGGGCTGAGAGGAGACCTGGTAGCAGCTTACTGCTACACTAAGTTGTCTCGGACGGCCAGAGTCGACTCGAGTTGTGTTAGAAATTGGTCGTACGTTAGGGCGGGCTGGTGAATGGAGAGGCAGACACAACTTATCGGTTGCAAAAAACTTTACTCACGCCGCTTGCAATCACGACGCAGGTGGTCCGGTCGTCTGAACAACCACATGAGTTGTTCCAGCTGGCGGGGCCCAAGCCAGTTAATCCGTCCGCAATTCGAAGCCGGC